CGCGGTAATGTCGTTTTTTGTATTCGCGGTAATGTCGTTCGCGGTAATGTCGTTTTTTGTATTCGCGGTAATGTCGTTCGCGGTAATGTCGCTGTATCGATTGCAACTACTGGGTAACGACAGGGGAAGTCTAGTAATCCGGCGATTGCTAGATTCCTTCTAGTTACAACTATTGATTTATCGCCCGATAATCGATCGATTTAACTATTGTTAGTTACACATGCAGACGCATCTAGTTTAAAGTCCCTATTCCAACTGGTAATCTAGCTGACACCTAGTCGTGTATCGCCCGATTACAGACGAAATTGTATCTAGATTTTTCCCATAGGTGATGTTTGCTTGGGTATCCTTCTTTAGATTCTCATACTTTCTCATACTCAACTACTTTCTCATACTCTCTCATACTCAAAAGCACGCAAAGCAACGCAAATCATCTTTTAGGGTCTTCACCCATTTCATTTAACCCAAACGAAGTAGACGCGAGCTGACTGGAAGCATATTGACTGATACGTACTTACGTCCATGTAAATAAGTAAAGTGTAATAGGATAATTCATTGGCATCATCTGGAAGCAAAACTTTGTTCTCTTGATAATACGCAGAGTGTTAACTGTTCACTCTGATAGATGAATCAAAATTAAACAGAAGTAAGATTTATTAAAAATTATTCCAAGAGCTACATGTGTAAGAACAATATCTCATATTTCAATTTTCTCATATTGATAATACCCGTTTTGTATGAAAAAAAGAAGTTTCACTTTCCGTGAAACACACCAGTGTATCATGACATCATTGATTTGGATAATAAAGTAAAAACACATCTTAGCAGAATTGTGCTGGCTCTTCTGTTTAGAGTCAGTAATCTTGAGAGAATATACCTTTTTAACACAGCAGGATTCATAATAATTTTTATTTAATTAAAATATTCCACGTTTCGGTTCATACAACCATTTTTAAGAATATATAAACATAAATACAGTTTATTTTATTTCACATTTTTGTTCAAAGAGAGTGAAATTTGTAAGAATTTGCTGAATTTTAGGCTGAAATGTTTTGGAGTGTTTTGTTTGAAGAGGAAGAAAAATCATTCGTTATTGTCTCGACCAGTATAAAGATCTAATGATATTTTACTTTTGACGAGTAGATGCATCTGTAGAGATTTGAACGTAAAAACATGCATCTGCGAAAATTAAATTAAACGTGAAGAACATGCTGGACAATATTACGGCTAAGTCGATTTTCGTGATAAATGAATTTTTAGTTGTACTTCGTATGAGATAATTAATTTACATTTTTATGCAAGGGATCCTATTTTGATCACGCAAGAAAATATTCTATGCTTTTGAAGGGGTATTATACATTTCGATGGAAATAAGGCACTTGAGAGATATTTTTAAATTTTCATCACTCGTGTTATCAGCTCTAAACATTTAAAAACTACCCGTTAATTTTCTACTTAACGTATCTCACCAAAACGAGAAAATACAAACACGCGTTTTAATCAGGCTTTTCGAAGCAACGTTGAAACGAGAAACTTGAAAAACGCCTTGCTGTTCGTTTGTTTTCTCAACGCACTGAAACCATAAGATGAGAGAACGCTTTCCTACGCGTTTCAACTGAAAACGAAAACAGACACCATATCTCATTTTCTAGTTTCTGCACTTTTAAAAATTATGTTATGGGTGAGGGTTGGACAAGTGCACGCTGGACAAGTACTTACAAGTAAATTTACTTCTGGAAAAGGACAAGTACCGGCTTCATTACGCAAGCGGAGTACTTGCCCTAAGTACTTGGGCACAAGTACGCTCTCTAGGGATATGCTACCAAAAGACGATACTTAAGCATACATTTGGCTGGGAAAAAGGAAAATACATTAAAATGATTATTAAAAAGTAAAAGTAACGATGTGAAACGGTCATAGACTAATGTCTAAAAATTACTATACTGGATGCATTTTGGCGATCGATAAAAATCATTCACACGACCACCAGAAAATCATTTTGTGGCCGCCAGCACCGAAAATGTTTTCTAGATCTGCCACTGGTTCACATCACGTTTACACAAGTCAAAATCCCAAAATCAAAGACTTTTCTATGTTAGTGCTCTACTATCGGCGTCAAAATACAAGGCCGGTGGTCATTTCTTGAATAACTTTTGATAGAAGTTAGGTAGAGAGCTGCGGTTTTCAGTTTTAGACACTAGACGCTTGAACACATCTTTTCTTAAGCAAAAACAAATTTCGAAAAATTTATCAAGCCGGTTTTTCAGCGGATCTTTGGAAATCCAGCTTGGATTTTCCGAAATTCTTATAAGGATGTAGTGATTTTTTTTCATGTGTATATAGCCCGAGGTATGCTCTAAAAAATGGGAGTAAAGTGAGACATTGATTTTCTGCGGTTCGAGCGTTGTATCGAATTTCGGACGAGTCCCAGGACTGGCACCCGATGACTCTTGCTAGCCTTAAAGACGGATGGACTATGTATAATCGACTACGCTGAGTCTCGTAACAATATTTGGCTTTCGAAAACGTTTTAAAAATCTACTGGAAAGCTAGTTTTACGACAATCAGGGTTTTCAGGCCGAAATCCCTGATTAAGGTCGGAGAAATCGAAAAGCATCCTGTTAACAGGCTTTTCAGAAACCCTTTTGGTAAGCCATAGGGTTTTTCAAAATTTATTTTGAGATCTCCTATAAACAGGATATAGAATAGCTTAAATATGCCACATTCTGAAGTTTTGAACTAGTTCTGATGTTTATTGAGTGACTAGTGAGTTTTTTAATATTAGGTGAAAACAGTCTGAAAGCCCTGATTTCTCCTATGCGGTTCTCTATCGAGAAACAATCAAAAAATCAAGAAGGCAGTAAGAAGAAAATGAAAGAAAGTTGAATCTATTATGTTTTCAAGGTCTCTTGGTCATGACGATGATAGTAGTCGTGCAAGGATAATAACACCAATATGAGCAAGAAGTCTGGTAAAGTAATATGTTTAATTTCTTTTGCTTTCTTTTTTACTTTCCGTTTACTTTTCTTTTGACTTGTTTGATTTTTTTTTGATAGAAGAGCCCAGGAGATATAGCACTTTCTTTTAGAACATGAAAAGCAAAAAAGGTTTTCCGACTGTCCTTTTCTTACTTTTTGAAAAAGAAAAGTTGAAAGTCAGAAGACTCTCCTTTGAAAAAAGAAAAGAAGTGAAAGTGCCACTCTCACACATCAGTATATGCAATGTTTGATTTACAATTTTTTATGGAGACACTTTTCAAGGAAACAATGTCTTACTACTTTAGTCGCATTGGCACGAGTGTCATAGTGACGTTGAAGTTAACGAATTATTGATCTCAAATTTGTTAACTTCAACGTCTGTCAGTCCGTTTGCACTTTCCCGATCGAGAAATATGTCCCGATCGGGAAACTTTCTCAATCGGGAAAGATGTTATCTCATGAACCATAAGTCGTCTGGAGTGCGGCCAAGTTTTATTCTGTTGCTTAGGTGATTTACATTTGCTCTATGTAAAAAGCTGAAGCTCCTCTTTGATCGTTGGTTACGTGCCATGCTAAAACAACTTTTTGCGGAAAAATTCCTTAAAAATTTGTTCTGACACGTATCGAAAGCCGTTAGATTGTCCTATCCAATGGCTAAAGTTAGAGCTCATTAATTCAACTGTAGAGTTGCTGATGCCTCCAGTGAACTTTATAAAAGAAGTCCTTGCTTGAAAATGTGTATTATTGACATTTTTTGTAGTGTGATCCAAACTTTAACTTTGATGAGTCATTCTAAAAACGACAGTGAAAATATCTACAGTGGCCGTCAAAATTATTCATCCATCTTGCTAATTTCTTTTATTAAGGTTATTGCTTGTTGAGGAAGCTGCTAGACATTTTTTGATCTTATCGCGAGATAGCCCTTAGTTTTTTGTACATTTCCTGTAAAATTCCAGTTCTTATGCCTCGGTTTCGATTTTTGGCAAGTTTTCTTGTGAAATCACCGAATTTTTAACGCTAGAAAGCGTAATATGCACTTTAACTTCTGTATTATCTTATCCCATTTTAATCTTTTCATGAATTATTTTGAGACACATATCGTTCGATAGAACGTTGATTGTGCCACAAAGTGGACTAGTTTTTATTTGAAACGGGCGCCAGAAGTACATAGAAAGAGAGATGTTTCTAGAAGGCACTTAATCTTCAGAGCATGTGTCCGGTAAACCTCGCTTTTCTCTACTATAACTAGATCAAAATTGGCTTCTAAATATGTCATACGAAAGAGCATCGAAAACTGCATCGAATAGACTAATTTATAAGTGTTTTGAAGAGTGTCGTAGAAACAATCATTGTTAACTGTCGGATGAGAAACTTTATTATATTTTTTATTTTGAAAAGTATACACACTGGGTCTAGTTATATTCAACATATTTATCACCTGAAGACTAGTCAGTAGATCTTTCTTACGCTTCTAGAACTCGATGACATGTGTTTATAATTCTGCATCCTTCCTTTTTCTTAGTCTTTTCTTTTTCTTTCTTCCATCTTTCTTTTCCTTTACTCTAACGCTTGACAAAAATGACTTTCCTGATCGGGAAAGATTTTGATCCCACTTCTATTCAACATTTCTATAATATCGGATGTGACAGAAGCGCGTCAAATTCACCTGACACCGCGTCAATCGATGCAGTTTTTCGTGCTCTTTCCAATGGAACCAACCAGAACATGCGCGAAAGCGTTATAAAATGCGCTGAAGTGTTTCAAAGTAGACATGTCGAAATCTTTCCCGAATGGGACAGATTTCGCTTTCTCGATCAGGACATATTTCCCAATCGGGAAATACATCTTTCTTGAACGGGAAATATTTCCCGTTCGGGGCATAACTCTTGCAAACGGACTGTCTGTAGAATACTATGACACTCGTTGCCAATGCGACTAAAGTAGTAAGACATTGTGTCCTTGAAAAGTGTCTCCATAAAAAATTGTAAATCAAACATTGCATATACTGATGCGTGAGAGTGGCACTTTCACTTTCTTTTCTTTTTTCAAAGGAGAGTCTTCTGACTTTACTACGTTTTTGCTTGTGTACGTTTTTGAATATTTTTCATGCTCATTCGCACGTTGAGACAATTCGGAGATACGTTGATCTGGCTGTTTTAAAAATTCGTCTTGCTCTGAGAAACACTGCTTCAGGTCATCAAGACGTTGTTCGAGGGAATCTAAACGACTGCTCAGTTTTTGAAGGAAGACGGAAGTATAACGGTCGATGATTTGATCGATACAGTCATCAATATTTCCATCTTTTGATTTTACTTCTTCCAACATTTTCGAGAGTGTGGATCGTAGTGACTGATCATTTTTCATTTCGCCGGTTACATCCATTGAAGACAGTGAGAAAGAATTAAACAACTTATTACTAGCTGCATTTCTTGATGTGTAGAAACCAGCTTGAGATGAGGTGGTGCCTACCACTGCTGCTGTTTTGTCGTGAGACATATTAACTAAATAATAATTAAATAGTAATAACAGTACGTATGTACTTTAAATAATAAATAACCTTAGTACACAGAAGAGAAACGCTTACATGTGTCTTATCTTCATGAAATAAAAAGAGGAATGAAATAAAAACCTTTCACCTTTGTCATACCGGCTTGCGCTAAAAATGTTTTCATCACTTCTCTTCTATGTCAGAATGTGAATAAAAATATTTCACACAAAACACAATTCATAAAAGGACCGAATTCGACTACATAACGTATCTTCATACAGTCACCGTGTACGATCAATTACGGCGAAATACAGTAGCCGTAAACCGAGCTGTAAATGTAGCTTATCTTATGCATGGCCTAAAATGGTTCGCCGTTGGCTTTATTGTCAGAATCAATAAAGAAATAAAACAAAACAACTTGTTGGATTTTATAAATCTTTTATTGTTAGGTGTAAAATGATCAAAATTGATTCATTTCAAAAATTGCAAACCTCATCACAGACATAAGATTTAAAGTCTGAAACTTTTGCGGAAATTCTCTCTTGCTTGCATAAATTATTGATATAAATTATTCATGCTTTCAGCTGTTTAGGTTTCGAAGGTGTGAAAATTATAAGGTGCCCAGTTAATTAAACCGGCTGCAAATCAGGAAAAGGTGAATAACTTCTCCAAAAAGCCCACATTTGGCTGGCCATCTTTTAACGTTTTTCCAGCAGTTGATGTGATATGCGTCTTGCACACGCATTTTCTTTCCTTTCCACAGATCATAGCTTGGTTTGTTTTATTAACTCAATGCAAAACACTCGATAAAGAAAAAAAAACAAACAGCGAAAAATATATATTTCTGTATTAATTTCTCAAAGTAATAAAAACATAACACTTTATTTGACACGCTGTAAGCGGCCGACATAAACAGTAACTAAGGAAACGGAGAAACATGTAAAAGCCGAAGAGGTTGAACCGAAAAAAAAGGTAGACACACGAGGTGAGCGAGAGCAATTAGTTTTATATGGTGACGATCTTTTGCGAACTATTGAAACTTCTAATAGCTCCTTTTAATCTTGAACGAAAGCAGTAAGCTCCTAGAAGTCGACACAGATCTGATAGAGTCTCTAAATTTCATGATCAACACGACTTCTCTAAAAATACTTAAATCTTTCTAATATTTTAGCTAAAATGGATTCATTCGTGCATCGTATCATTTCACACGATGATTTACAAGAAGTGGATAATATTTTAACTGTAAAAAATGGTGAAGAAATCACTCTGATATGGTACGATGAGAAGATCGATAATGAAGTTCAAAATCTAATGGATAATACAAATGACTGTAACTATCTCTGTCACACTCGTGAACAATTCGAAGAACAAGTAGAAAAGAATATTAATGAAAAAATTATTTTAATCGTATCAGGTCAACTGGCTGAAGAAACACTCTCTCGATTTCATAATAGAAACGAAATTGATTCTGTTTATATCTTTTGTTTACAAGCGCAATTATATCAGTCGTTAATCGATTGTAAAAAGTATACGAAACTTGTTGGTGTATATACCGGATATAAGCAACTATTTGATATCATTCAAAAACAACTACGCTTATTAATTAAATTTCGTATATTTAATCAAAAACAAAAAGCTTTTCGTCTTCTTACAAATGATTCAGGTGGATATCTATGGTATCAATTATTGAAAGATTTTTTAGCTGAAATGCCTGTTACAGACTACACTAAAGAAGAAATGTTAGCTTGCTGTCGTTACCAATACCGTTCAAACCAAAGCCAATTGAAAATAATTGATGAATTTGAAGATATTTATGAATCACCTCAGGCAATTACCTGGTATACGCGTGATTCATTCGTCTATCGTATTGTTAATAGAGCAATACGTACACAGGATGTTGATGCATTAATTCAATTACGTTATTTTATTTTCGATCTATGTACACTTTTGAAAAAGACAAGTGACGAACAGAAACAAAATCGAGTGAGTCGAATACTCTATCGTGGTTTGAGACTGACTGATACAGAGATTGAACAGCTAAAAGCAAATGAAGGAAAGTTAATAGCAGCAAATGGCTTTCTTTCAACAACTCCATCGACAGCTGCAGCTGATATGTTTGCAGCTAATGTTATCTTTGAAATTGATCTCAAGGATAATCTGGATAATGTAGTATTTGCTGATATTTCAAGGTTGAGTTATATACAAGATGAAGAAGAAATCTTGTTTGATCTAGGAACAATATTTCGTTTGAGCACAATTAGTTACGATAACACTCGACGTTTGTATATTGTGAAAGTAACTGTTGAAAATGATATTGAACAATTGTACAATCGAAATGATTTTATCAAAGATCGTCGCCAAGTGCTGGAACTTATTAAACAAAGTGATCGACTAAACATTGAATTCGGTTTCCTCTTGAGTCACATGGGTCTACACAAGAAAGCTATTCCATATTATGAAAGTTTATTGGAAATGCAATCGATAAATGAGGATGAAGATGTCAAATATCTAATCTATACATATCTGATAGAAGCCTATCTCTACTTGGATCAATCAGATATTGCTTTAAAATATGCTGACCTTATTTTAAAAAGTAATTATACAGCAGTTAATTCTGCTGATTGTTACTTTCGTATAGGTTTAATTTATGTACGCACTGATTATGAAAATGCAACACAGTACTTTTTAAAAGGTCTGACTCTCTTTGAAGAAGATAAAGACAATTTAGAAATCTTATCACTTCTGCACCATGAAATGGGTATTGTATATCTATTCAGTAAAGACTATTTATTATCAGCGTAACACTTTCAAGTGGCAGGTGAATTGTTCGAAATGTTAAATGAAACTAGTTTTGATCCCGATATTGGTGTTCTCTACAGTTCAATAGCTTTACTCTTTTTAGAAATAAAAGACTATGATAAAACGTTAGACTATTGTTATAAAGCTTTGGAAATATACAAACTCTATTTACCAATTAATCATCAAAATTATTCGTATGGCTTTGGTCTACTGGCACGTGCCTACTATGAACAAGGGAATGTCGATTTATGTATTGAATATTCTAAAAAATATTTACAATTAGAAGATAAACCATGGAAAGATGATGAATCAGTTTGATGTCAATATGTATCTTGGTAAATGTTATTGGGATAAGAGAGACTTTACGAATTCAATAAAATATTTCAAGAAAGCAGCAGAAATATGTGAAAAACGTTTAACTCCACTTTTAGGAGAGATGAGTGTCGATGGAATCCACGAGGTAATTGGTAATTTATATAAAGAGACAAAACAATTTGATTTAGCTATAAAACATTTTAACAAATCATTAACTGTACAAAGGACAAATTTTAACGAAAACCGTGAAAGTAGTGAACTAAATGTACTCGATAGTCTTGCTGAATGTTATGAAATGTTAGATGATTATGAACAGTGTGTAAAGTATTATACCAAAGCACTAGCACTTACAAATGTCGATGACCACACAATCAGAGTCGACAATATTGTACGCATACTTATACTAATTGGCACAAGCTACGCTCTCGATAGTAAGCTTGACTTAGCTGTGAAATGGTTTGACCGTATATTTGAGTTAGATAATCAATATCCAACATTAATAACAAACGAAAGAATAGTGAAAATACATGAATGTCTTGGTAATATTTATACGGAGAATAATGACTATACACATGCAATTGAACATTATAGTAAACAATTAGAATTATTAATTAAATTAAATAAAGCAACCAGAGAACGAAAGTTACATATTCGGCAAACACTTGCTGAACTATGCAAACAAAAGAATGATTTACCGCTTGCTATACATCATTATAAAGTTGTGTTAACTTTGCAAAACCAAAATTTCAATAATGGTTACTCTGGTCGCTTAGCACGTTTTAGCAAGAAACAAAAACGTCAACAGACAAATTTAGCATACCTACATTATTCAATTGCCGACTGTTATGAGAAACTCTTTGACTATAGTGATGCATTAACTCATTACAAAACGATTTTAGAACTAAAAGTAATAGATCAATCTTTACTAGCTGATGCACATATTGGCCTTGGAACAATCTATGAAAATAGCACATCAGAAAAAAATTATCTACTAGCTATAAAACATTATAAAAAATTAGTTGTACTCAAATTAAAGAATTACAATCAAAATATGTCAAATATTGCTAGATATTATACTGGTATTGGTTGGTGTTATTGTAAATTGAAAGAGAATAAATTAGGTCTTAAATATTGTGAGAAAGCATTAAATATTTACAGAGAATGTTCAGAAAGTACAGATGATCCTTGCTATACAAATGTCTATGCTACACTGGCTTGTCTCTATTATCAAATAAATAATTATGAAACGGCATGGATCTATTGTGACAAATCAATAGCTGTTATGAAAGATAGTTTTCCGATAGTAAAATATGAGTATCCAATATATGCATGGATCTATGAAGTTTATGGTTGTATCTATTTATATTTTAAAGATAAATATCTTGCAATTGAATCGTTCAAAGAATCAATGAATTTGTTTCAAAAGCATCAACCTTACCCAAGAAAAGAGATAAAACGTATTCAACATTCACTTTATGAACTTCGTTTAAACAATAGCGTAGAAGATGAAGTATATGAACCCGTGAGGAAAAAATCAAAGATTAAATGAAAATTTCAAAGCAAATAGTTATTGACGACACTTTTTTCCGTAACTAACGAGGGAACCTCCCGAGGTGATAAATCACTTTTTGATTGAAATCTAGCGAGTAATAGGTTACCGACTATGCTGATTCCGAATATAAGCATAGGAGTTCCCTATAGCCTTTTGAAGATCCGGTCTTCTGGAAAACTAGTTTTTCAGAAACTTAAAAAATAACCAAAACTTTTCTTAATAAGGCATAATTGCAATACGCAAATTTCTGATTAAAATGAGACACCTCCGATCTCTACACGACCTTTCTTTGCAAAGTTACAGAATTTACAAGAAAAGCCCTGAATGTTCATTGTCAGCTCAAAAACTACAGAAGTAAGAAGCAAAAAAATAATTTAAACCTTTTATTGTAAATTCTATAACTTTGCAAAAAAAGATCATGTAGAGATGGGAAGTGTCTCATTTTAATCAAAAATCTGCGTGCTGTACTTATGTTTTGTTAAGAAAGGTTTTGGTTATTTTTTAAAGTTTCTGAAAAACTAGTTTTCCAGAAGGCTAGATCTTCGAAAGGCTATGGGGGACTCCCATGCTCATGAAACCTACCACCATTACACTGATCAGACGCCAGTGACAAGACTTAGCTCAGCTTACAGAACACGGCGAGCTGGGTCAAATGGTGAAATGCGCAGGTGTCCAGCTTTGTTAGAAAAAAAGTTACAGACATTTTAGGGTGGCACATAAAGAATGGCACATAAGTTTTCTTTACCGATTGATGTAAAACTCGACACGGTCTTTCATTTGAGACTAAAATCAAGGTTCTGCGTTGGATCCTTTAGTCAAAACATAGTGTGCAAAATAGGCCATTTCTGCTAGAAAACGGCAAAAACTGCACTTTTCCGCTGGGGTGCAGCTAATTCAAAAATGAACCAAACTTTTTTTTTGACTTATGATACACCATTCGATGGAGCTTTTCAAGCTGATTATGAATATGTAGTTTTCAATTTTTCGAAACGTTTTTTTCCATGTAGAAAAATCGAGAAAACTTGAAAAAACGATGATGTTCACCAAAGTTAGATTTTTCGCCGGAACATTCAAATTATGTTTTTCTTATTCAGCTTTGAACTGAATTAAAAACTAATATTAGATGCATTTCGGAGGTAAACGCCTGCCAACCATGGACGCCCGAAAGTAATCGCTTGCAGTTTAGTTTAACCAGTGTTTATTATAGGTGTGAGAGGAAATATATAAGTTTGAAGTTTGCAGAATAATAACAAGAAAAAGATAAAGGACTGGGGGCGATAAGAGCCAAAATCTGTCCCTCACAGATCAACCTTATATTAATCGATCTGATGCAGTTTTTTTCTTCGATTAGTCTGCTAAGTACACGAATTCGAGTGATACTTTTTTTATAAAATAGTTTAAACTTAAGTTTTTTAAAAAAAAAGATAGCATACAAATAAAGAAAGCATTAAAAGAAAGAGAAAACGTAATCATATTTTTAAGGATTTGACTTTCGTCGAGTGCATCACAGACTACAAGTCTTTAATTTGTTTTCAGATATAAACATTATTACTACTCAGAATGGTGAATTAAGTATGCGATTTCAGCATTACATCAACTCTACAGGTATCAGTCCTGGAGCTCCAGGTAAATTCGATGTCACATTCTAGCCACTAGATACCATGGTCTCGCATAAGTCCTGTTTTGACGTGAATACATTAGGCCATACGGAGGCCAAGCAATAACCATACTGCTGCTTTAACTTCGGCTGGATCAGACTAGCTTTTTATATATCTTCTCAAAACCTATTTTGGAAAAGGAAATTTGTTTTAGGAATACCACAGTTACCGTTATTTTTAATTATTGAGTAAGTCGAAAAAAGAAATGTTTCCAAAGCCTAAAACACATATATTCGGATTCAGCTCGACAAGACGGATTTAATCATGTACAATTAAGCGAGAAATAAAATGGTGTGGAAGTTTTGAAGTGGCCGCACCTTAAGAACGCATAAAAAGAAAAAAGATAGTGGAAGAGCTTCGAAAAGCCCTTCCATGAGTTATTGTTAAGCGCTATGTATACTCTTCTTCTTCTTGGTACCCATACTAGAATAACGATAGACAGCGAAATCTTTTCTCTGAACATGTTTTGCTCTTGATTATATTTGTTTAGATTAATTTATGAAAGTGGCGTTATTAATATACCAGAAGATGGATGGCAACACGACAGTCGTTACGAATCAGTATTTCCAGCAAGTAGTTTTTATTTTTATATTGAAAACGGGACCTCCAATTTGTTTATATTTGTCTGTTGTATTAGTTGACAATCAATTAAAGTCTCATTTAACGTTTACTCCATTAGTTAATTTATTCAACGAGACAGGGCAGCAAAAGATTGGCTATATAAGTCCATTTGAAGCTATTGCAATTTTCGATATTAAAAGTATATTTTCGGGCGCAACTGGACTAAAGTTTTAGAACCGGGTGAAGACAGTTATTGGATTCCGTAAGTGCTGCGTACGCTGATAAAGACCATAATACTAAAGCCATGTCTGCTAACTTAATTACGATCGAGAGTGTGACAAAGAATTCAGTTCTATTCGCCGGTAAAGAATAAAATTGCTGAGGTATTGAGCACTTACTTCAAAACCTCAAAAGAAATATTTTCACTTCTGAGCAAAAGAAAAGTATCTTTCTCACAGAAAAACTGTTTTTTGCATTACGCTCGTCCCGATATAAATAGAACGTAATAAAGAACGTTGTCCAATGATCTAGATTAGAGTCGATCTTGCATCACACGTACTTGAGTCGACTTCCTGGATGAGTTTTTCTTTCACCATTTAGTTTGGTAGATTTACTATTGCCTCTCGAACAAATTCAGAAATTGCAACTGGTCGAATCTACTATGTTGGTTCAGGCTAGAAGTTTCAACGATCAAATCTTACAACTACGAAGATATTTATGTCACAGTGAAATTAACTCAACGTGGTACTGGTGATCATTCTCGAAAAACTGCAAAGTTGCACATGTATAATCATGATCGTGCAGATGTTAGTTCGAGAACTCTAGGACGTAAACAGATAACTAAACTAAAATTTTTAATCATAAGAACGGAAACAATTCGAAAAGAAAGAGATAGTTGAGAAAGAAGACCAATTGAAAGTTGTTATATTAATGAACATGGTATTCGATAAAAGAGTGGTAAAAGCATATTTGTTTCCACATCAACCACAATTAATAAATGTTGTTTCACTACATTTTAAAACGTAGTAAGGAATAGTGATGGAAGGGTGGAATTTTCCGTGATTATCGTAGACATCTAGCACTACTACCCAAAAAATTCTCAGCATTTCATACCGTATTTTGACTGAGTTATAGAATCTTTTATCTCGCAATAGATCGTAAGTTGAATCTTTGAACAGCACAGCAAGTGTACATGGAAAAGTCTTGCCGCAATCTAAGAGATTATTAGATTCACCTGTTCAGTAATACTGAATAGATCAAAAATAATTTTGTTTAAAGCTATTGAGCTGGATGGTTAGTTGAACGGTTCGACTATTTACATAATCATGTTGTGTAGATATAAAAACTTCATCTTTTCTCTCATCCCCAAACAATTCGATTCGTTGTTGGTTCAGAATATTAAGCAGCTCTTGATCACCCTGATAGTTTGATTTCATCGCTTTCAACTGCATCACTGTTCGACATAATGTTTCAGCCACTACTTTCTTACGATTAAAATCTGTATTATCAAAGTCTTTATTCTTGACAAGATAAAATTATATTGTTTCGCCTTTCAATTTATTTTTAACATAGTTGACCTTTTCTTCTTCGGATAGTGCACGAACGTTCGATGGCGTGTCGGGATAACTATATTTCGATTGTTTCATAATAATAGTTATTGCCCGTGTTGTATCTTGACCTTGCATGACTCGTTTTTCTGGTGCAATCTTATAAGTTCGACATCACGGCCAACATGGACTACCTTTTCCACAACAACATGGAGTAAACGGTGCACGATGTATGAATTCACTAGTATCTTGTTCTCTAACGTGTTTTTTTTTTCCATCTGATGTATATCGAATGGACAATATATCTTCGACGGCTATTATCTGAACATCTTCCTGAACATCCTATTTATTTCAACAAAGAACGATTATTAAAGTAAAAACTATCTACGTGAATCAATCCCACTTATTAACGCTGCACTCTTCTCTGTACAATAGTAAAGCACTAAAACATTATTTGTGCCTTCGCGATGTCATTTTCTACACCAAATAACATCTTCAAGTTCAACTATAAAAAGTTTCTCGTACAACAAACATTTACTATTTAACACAGATGAGGCTCCACTAAATCTATGATCTCAACGAGGTTCAGTTCGTCCTTTAATATCAATTCTGATACGCTGAAGCTCGCATGGAGACCCTGAGTAAGACATCTCTTTTTAAAAAAAGAATGTGAATAGCGGAGTCGGTATAGTACTCAATCTGACCGAATCGATATCAAATCAGAAACATCTGAGTATGCAAGTGACTGTTACATCATAGTGACGTTTGCTCTTGTAGAGAGCGCGGTTTTCAACACGCACTATTCGAAAATAAATTCCAATAAATGTTTTCATAGAAAAGTCTTCTACAAAACTAATAGAAAAACTTGTGAGCGTTTCTTAAAAAAGCAGTAATTTTAACAGTACTGGTTAACATCTATTCACAGATTTCGCATCAAAAAAACAATTATTGATTAATAGCGCATTTACCAGCGAAAAATGAAATATAACCATTTGGGATTTCTTGTTCTTCAACAACGTTTGATTTAACTTCAGCCGCTTTCACTTCCACATTGGGCTTCTTGCAGTAACAACAGCCGTTTCTCATTTTAAAGTTTCTGATTACTAAATCTAGAAGAATGATATTTAGTACAAATTTCGACGTTCCAGTGGGAGATGCTATATGCTTATTTACTCACGCATGCACAAACCGACGAATAAAAACAAATAATTTTTTTAACTATTGTTGCTAAAGCGCGTACCCGGGGTGGTCTGAAAATTTATCGAATGTATTAGAGTGATTTTGTTGATTGTTCTACCGTTTTTAAAGAAAAAAATGAACGAAATGAAAGTGACCATTAAAATATTTATCATCAACGTTTTTACAGAAACAAAAAAGATTATGCAGAATTAAACCTCACAACTTCAATCGTTGTACAGAATATAGACACAGAAGAGTGGATTTAGTTTCTGCAGTTGCTGCAAAACTAAATCCACATGTTCGAATCTCTATTCGTACAAAACTGATTTTAGTTTAGAATACTATGCTGGAATATTTTTCCGCTTGTATTCTGACAGAGTCAAGATTATATCAGTTAAAACTGCAGATCGATAGAGCAGATAAAATACTGCACAGAAAAAAAAGGTTTTGTTTCACTCACCTTTATGCAGATTTAAATAATGTTTTTATAAAACTGGTTGGTGAACATGAAAATCATGTTGGAAATTCACGTTCAGAACCAGTACGAAAGTTTTATGAAAATTTAAAACAGAAGACTGCACATAATTGTACAAATCCAAGCAATATCTTAACACAAACAAAATTTACTGGTATTTCTGATGAAGTTCGTGTTATCTTACCAATTTATACCAACATGATATTTCGAACGAATAATGACGGGCTTCAAAAAAGCCAATATGAATGCGTTTAGTGATAGCTTCCCAATAGCTGAACTTAGTAGCTGTTGTTTTCATTTATGTCAGAGCTTAATGCGCTTCTTACAGCGAGTGTTTTGTACAGTTTACAGGACTTTACAGAAATAATAACAATTTTAATTTACTTAGGCTCAAAGTTTCAAACAACGAGACATTGAGCAACAGTCATTGAGCTCCCCGATAATATTCACAAAACTGCGAAAAAATTACGAAAAAATAATTTTTGGTAGGGACTCGATCAATCGAGAATAGGCGTGTTACCCGAGAAAGTTGGTCTAGGCTAACTTTTATATCCGATCATCCGGTCGTAATGAAACTTGGTACTTAAGCATTTCAGACCATGCCCTTTCTGTTGTCTAGCCGACACTTTTGTCCAAAATCCTCGTAAGTGGGATTTCGCGAAAACCGTGTGTTTTGACTTACAGGTTTCGAATAAAATTCGTTTTAAAAATAAACAGGTGGAGATAGGACAACTCTGAAGACACCACTATATTCAGGATAAAATGGCCGTCATTTTTTTCGTCAAATTTTTAACTTGTCTGAAAATCTGAATAAGTTAGCTGTGGTAGGTTGCAGTACGTGATGAAGGGTGTAGCTCTGAATATGTGATGTACCGATGTTTCTATAGGCAACTCAGCGTCCTAAATACTGTGGAGAGAATCAGCAGGTGCAAATACGCGTCCATCTGGGTGTTGGTGAATGTTGGTGGGTGTGTTGGTGTACGGTTATATAGGGTGCTCTATCGATCTAGGATGGTCTCAGGCAGTTTGGGGGGGGGGGATGGCTATCTTTTACAAATACCCGAATGTTTAAGGACCGGGACTAGGTACCCCTCGGACTGGCCTGTGCCTGCATAGAGCCCTTAAATCCAGTTCAACGCCCTGCAGCTGGTATCATAAGTGGCGACTTTGTCTCTTCTTCTTCAGAAGTTCCAGTAAATTGTCCACTCGAATGCTTGATGCGACGGAGAAAACCTGCCCGATTGACATATTTCTGGAATACGTTGAACTTGAGTGATTTTCGACATGTGGACCTTCAGATTCTTTGTGCTTGTGACCCCCCTCAGAAAATTAGATTCTTTTTTCTGGTAGTAGGAACATGGGAGCAACAGGTTGATGAAACTGCTTCTAGATAACAGAAAATGTTAGGAACGATTGTGTATATTTGGATGCACAGCATTTTCTCTTCGCCTACATTTATACGAAGTTTGTATCCACCCTGCGGTGCAATACGGTTCAATCTTCATGACGCTTTTTTTTATTCAATATCTGAAGATCGATTGCGTACAACGTCTTGCTGCTCGTGTAATCATGAATGATTATGTTTCTTGCGCAAATTATCTACTCCAGTAACTAACTACATCAAGGTTCATAATCAATCTTTTTCTTTCTCTCTCCAACTCTCTTTTTTATTATTTTGTATGTCTGTTATTATCTTGTTATTATCAATTTGATGCCCGTTTAATCTAACTTAAAAATTTATTTTTGGCTGCATGGGATGAAGGGCAACTCAGACTATCCATCTAGGTGCAAATCAGAGCTTGCTAAATAGTTCTGTGACAGAAAACTTATATACCAAACCATCTGCAAAAAAGAGCAAAAAATGGTGAAATTCCGTAACGGTCACTTTTATTCGATTTCCTCTGCCAGTGAACTAATTGAAGAAAAAGTCAGTAGTGATTCTGATAGCCCAAACTGTGAGCTTTAATTTGGTAATTACGCAATCATTTTAAAATTAATTTAAGGTTGAATAATTTACATTTTTGTGAAATACTGCGAAAACACTTCCATTTTTTGAAATTCCGTAACGGCCTCTATTTTGACTATTCGAATACAAAAAGATTTAATATTAAATAATTATTTGAAAGACATGTCTGAGCTATTATTGTCGTCATCACAATCATTAATAGTTGAAATGCGTAATTTGATTAGTCGTGCAAAAACATTGGCAGCTGTTCGTCAACTGGAACCCACACGTAATCGTTACATATTGCAATTTTTATATGAATCAAAATTAATTAATTATTTGCAATCACCTGTTGATTTGAGTGACGGTAATTTTAGTAATATTGATATGAGTGGCAAAATGAGTTTTCATAATGCAACATTAGCTAATGGTGTTCACCTTATTAATTCATCGTTTATGTATCGTGACCTTGATTTTGTCGATTTTCATCGACCGAATTTAATAAATATTAATTTTAAATTTTCTAGTTTAAGTCGTATCAATTTTCAACAAACAGCTTTGCAACAAGCTGATTTCAGCAGTGCAACATTTAAAGTACAGGTCGATTTTAATCAATCAAATTTAACATAATCAATATTTCATAACATTAAGCAATACGATCCACAATTTGAACAGTACGATCCTACAACCGAAAAAATTCCATAAACTATTAAAGAACTTACCACAAGCATAAATAAAATACTATTATTATGAACATTCATAAAATAAAATAGAAAGACATAAGTTAACATTAAACTTATAAACCTAATAACAAAAATAGGTATTAAAATAAAAATAAAATAAGAAATAAAATACTAAAAATTCCAAACAAAAATACATAAAAAGAATTAAACAAATACAATAACCACAAAAGCCAAAAATTAACAACTTTTTGAAAAATCAAAACATAAAAATTCATAAAAAAAGCCATTTCAACGGTAATAACAACAACCCAATAATGAAAAGAAGCCAAACCCAACTTAACTATTATAAGAATAAAAGAAAAAGAGAAAAGAAAATTTAATTTCTAATCAATAAATTAGATTTTCTTTAAAATTAAGTTATTATAATTATTAATGGTTACTTAATAGAATTAATTTTAAGTGATTCAGATACACATAAATTATTTTTTAGTTGTTCAAGTTGGAGCGTATTCTGAAGCTTCTTTTAATTTTATAAGGAAGCTTCAGAATACTCTCCAGCTTGAACAACTAAAAAATATCGTATTATCAGATAAGTTTTCATCAAGCTTGGCTACCCATGACAAATTTTATACATTGTGAATTGATACATACGAATTTTATGGATGCAACAACGGAAAGATCCGATTTTGATCAATGCTATTTACATACAACAACGTTTTATAATGGTATTCTGTATAAAACAATTTTTAATAATTGTTCACTATGGTTAACAAATTTTGGTAATGGTAAATTAGCACAATCAGCTTTCAATAATGTTATATTGAGAAGTGTCGATTTTCGTTTCGCCATTCTTGATCAATCGACATTTAATAAGAGGTTATACAGATAGGACGTGGTCGTGATTTTGCAGGAGGAAAACAAAAAAAAACCATCCGACATCTACAAAAATATTATTAAATCGAAGAACTATTATCCGTTCCAGAAGTCAATACAGTCGGTTGTTTTTTAAATAACTTTTGATAGAAGCAAGATGAAGACCTGCGGTTTCCACCGTTTGACAGCCAAGATCCAGGAGCATATTTTTGTAGACAAAATCTTTCTTAAAAACAAATCCCAAAACCGGTTTTTCAAAGGATCTCTGGAAAACCATACTGGATTTCTGAAAACTGTCATAAGAGTCTATTGATTTTTTTACATGGATAGATAGCTCAGAGTATTCCCTATGAAACAAGATCTAAACAAAACTTCTATCTTGCAAGGTTTAGACAAACCAGGCAGTTTTTCCGAAGTCTTAGGACTCTCCTTTCTTTAGGTATGGCACTATTGTAAACACATGAAAACATAGGTTATCGACTATGCTCAATCTCGTGGCAGTGTTAGTTTTCAGAACAAAATGCAAGAACCGAGTGAAAACCTATACTAGGAGTGCATCGGTTATTTTTTCGTATTTTTCAGAAATTCACAATAAATGTTTTGTATTTTCATAAAAACGATTTGCAACATTTTTCTAAAACGGCAGTTTTGTAGAGAAAACATTTCTCTACAAGATGATATATAATAGTTAATTTTAAAGGTTTTGGGT